AAGCATTGACATATCCATACCAAATAGTGTATGCAGTTCATACACTTTGGTACGGGTTACCTGTGCTGTATTCCAGATTTACTTCATTGCTTCTAAAGTTTTTTTTTAAGAACAAAATTTAGGATGACCTTGAGTTTATTTTTGAAAGAATAACTACATCAGTGCCTCTTTCTGCAACCTAAACATAAAAATCACATGGAAGTTTAAGCCTTCATATTGATTTAGAAATACCTAGAACATGAGTTGAGTTGGAATTTCTGTGTTTCAGCCATAGATGGAAAAGGAGGATCAATTTTGACTGAAAGAAAACTTGCCAAAGGCCACTAAGTAACATTGTTTGAATGATAAGCAGGTGATGGCTGCTGTGAAGTTTTGCTGAGATTAGGAGTGAAAAAGTTAAAGGGACAGAGTTTCCAAAGCATTTACTCCCATGTTTGTCAGTGGAGTGAATCTTAAAAATCCACTGCAGGGAAGAGGTAAACAGCTGATGTCTCTGATTCAAAAAACAAAATCAGTCCTTTGCCTGATATATAGACATACACTTTTATAGGGCAGTATGACTAAACTATTTTATAAGCAACTGATAAATTGCTGTAACTTGTAAGGTTTGTCATCCTTCTTGTTCTACTGACTGCCTGGACAAATAATAAGCCAATTATGCTTGTCATGTGTTATCTTAAACTGATGAGTTTTGCTTACATTAATTTTACTATTTTAAGGAGTTTGGTTTTTTTTTCGTCTGTGGTTAGTTCTACTATTATGCTGTTTGTGTCCTCTGTGAATTCTCCAGGTGAGAACAGTTAATTTATTTTTTTTAATACAGAGAGATAATTAAAAAGGACTTTGTAATTTCCTTTTTCATCTATCACTAGCTGCTTTAGAATTCACTGAACTACAACATTTTACTAATTAACATAATCCTGCTCCTTGTCAATGCAGCCACTTTTCTGTAAAGTGAAAATCTCAGACTCTACCCATACATGCATCAAAAGATACTTGCACTTATGATAGTATTAATTTTCAAAAATTGTTCCATAAGCATTTTCAGAATGGATCTCCTTAGTTTGAAATAAGAGGAAAAATTCATATGGTGATTTGTGAAATTTTGCTTCATTACCAGGAAAAAAAATTATTCATTTCTCTTCCTCACCAGACTATTTCCTGATGTGTTCATTGTTGTGCATTTATGGTTTCAAATACCCAATTTCTTTACTTTTATAATAGATCTTCATGATTCCATTCCCACTTATAAAGCTAATTATGATAGTACTCAACATTGACATTGTATTTTTCATCCTTGCAACAATTCACAAGTGAGAAAAGTAAGGATTATTGGCCCTGTATCAGTGATGAAAAAAAACTGAAATAAAAAGGAATTGGAGCTTGAATTTTACTCTAGACCTTCTGATTCTAGTCTTGTGAGTGCTGATACCATTAAGCTTCCCATCTGAATACTAAAGTTGTCTTCTTCTCATAGTATTAGCATATATGCCATGATATTAAATTTGCCTCTGTTTCTGTTCATTTGACCTCATTTCAGTTAAGATTTAATTTTTTTTAATATATAGTTACTTCAATAAATTGTTTTTCAATCAACATTAGAAGTGATTTAGGAGTGAAGTCATGGATTTTGAAAGTTCAGAAACTGAAAAAAGCAACATATTTCGAAATTTAATAGTTATGCTTGTCTAATCAATACACTGCTAACAAAGATTGGAAAAGTGGTTACTTAATTAAGGTTTGGCAGACTAGAATTGTTTGTCGTCACTTCAATGAGGATTAAAAAAAGCAAGCTCCCTGTGATAGCTGGAGTTTTGATCCTCCTTAGAGAGAGAAATGGAAGAAATGAGGTTCCTTTTTTTTGTATGCATTGGTACATCTGCATGGAAAATTTTGTTCAGCATCTTCCTAGGGATCTTGTTTGTAACCTTGGTGTTATACCTCACTTTTTTTTCTGCTCACCAAATTAAACCTGGTTCTTTTTGACAAGTGTTTGCCATCAAAGATTAGAATCTAAATCTTTGTGCAAAGAGTCAAGTTACCTAAGTTTTTTATATCTATCTCAAGTTTCTGGATTTCATGTGAGATGGGAAGATTAGCACTTATAGTTGATAAGTTAACTTTATTTCCTAAAAATGGATTAAATTCTTGAGTTTCGTATTTTTTGCAACACAAATGTTTGCACTCATGAGAAAATTCAGCTGACATCGTTTTGGGAAATCAAGGAAATAAATGGCGAAAACAGCTGTAAGGAAATTAATATTTGGCTAGTTTGCTTGGAGTACAGTGAATTTCTCAGTCAGAGCAGAGTTTCTATCTGCTACAACCATTAATTTTGCTGATTTACTGTAAACATTTGAAATGGCATAAGAGAGCCTAATTTCCTGCCTTTCTTTTAGAAATAGTACTGCCTGATTCCCACATGCAGCCCACTTCAGCTTGGAGTATTTATTGGTACTATTTATTGTTCCAGTTAAGCCTGGGTGGTGTTCTTTGAGCTACCATAGTTCACTGCAAAGAGGGACCTGCAGGTCTGTGAGGCATCCCTGAACATCAAAAGTTCAAAGCTGCTTAGGTTGAGAAACCATCAAGATCCCTTTCTTCAGACTCTCAAAAGTGGGAAGTTTGTGTTCTGGCTTGTGACTCGTGAGGTGTAGGTTATAATCTATAGGAAGGAAGTGCAAAATTACCTTGGTTTTTTCCTAGAATGAGAGTTTCACAGAACTTCAGGAGCAACTTCAAGCCTCTTGTAGTGACCAGATCAGATTACAAACACAGTGAAACCCTAACTCCAGTTAGTGACGCCAGAGAGCTGTGCTGTTCAGCTGGAGTCTGTGTATCCATCATCCCCGGGGCAGCTGCTGTGAGTCAGCAGCTGACCCAGAGCCCAGGACTGATCCCTCCCTCTGCCTGCTCTGATGGCTCAGGAGAGGGGGGATAACATGTCTGTGTAGACAAATCAATGCAGAGGGGTTATGGATGGGTAATTCCCATGCCCAAGGATGGGGGGGAAGCACCTTCCAACAAGGGCAAAAAAGTAAAATGCTCCTAAATATCAGGAGTAGATCCAGGATCTATCCTGCTGACAGAACAGCAGACCCTGCTCTCTGTAAAAAGCAAACGTGGAGAAATTTCTGTACTTGGTCTTTTGGAGAGTGAGCGAGACAAACTGGCTGGGCTTGGACAGACAAGATGAGGTGGTTTGATCAGCAGGTTGTGCTGTTGTATCATTGGAAGCTGTGCCTCGGCACTCCTCCTAGCTTGCTACAAATTCCTTATGGCAATGAGCACATTTATCAACAAATAAAGAAGATCTTCTAAGACCTTTTAAAAGGTCTCTCTTTTTGAACTCTTAGGCTCATATTCATCATGTCCTGCAATTATGCAGTTTATGTCACTTAGGATATTACATCTGACCTGATGAGACTTCCATTCTAATTATCACCTTTTGTCATTATTAGATCGTTTAATTCAACATGCTGATCTGATTAAGTAATTCTGGTCTCAATCTCTACCTCTGATTTAAGGTGGCAATACCTAAATTAAAATGAAACTTTGAGTAGCCAGTAGCATGTTTGTAAGTGTCCGGGAGCCAGTGCTAGAGGGTTTGATTATTGCTGCTGAGGAGGTGAGAATTTTTCTTTTACTAGCTTGTTTCAACAGTCCAGGAGAACATGTTCTTCAATCATTCTGGACAACTAAACTTCATTTTCTGTTTTATAACCTAAATAAAAATGTCATTTTACTTGTTTCCTGTTAAATCTCCCAAACATCTTGTGCCTCTGCCTTGGCCAAATAAACAGTCTGCACGCTGTGGTTCTGTTGGACAGCTAGAAACTGTTTGCTCATTTTGTTGACCCAGTTCCAGCCAAGCAGTAAATGTGGAATACAAAAAATTCCAATTGTCTTGGTCAAAGTCAGAAGAATCAGGTTGTCTGTAATATTTAGTTGCCAGTGCCCAGAAAAATGGGTGTGAATACTTTCCAAAAGAAAAGCTTTAAAGAGCATATGTGATTTTAAGGATTACCATGAGCAAGAGGATTATTATTTGAGAGACAAAGGGAATAAGAGATTACAGCACATTAAAAGAGAGTTGTTTTACATCAAAGGTGTAGGATGGTTACACACTTTGTATAAAACAAGGCATTGGCCAGAGAGCCAGACAGTTGGGATTTAGATTGAGCTCTCAAGCTCTTTTAGCTTTTCTATTTCAGCTCTATATAACAGTGTCTGAAATATGCAAAGATGTTTGCATTCAGAAGAGAATTAAGCAACAATAATCAGCTTACAGATTTCTGTTCTGTGATATGCTGAAGAAAAGAGAAAAAAATCCAGACATTTAGGTCAAATATAAAAAGCCTCTGGGCTGTTTGGAGTGAGCATCCAGTTGAATGATCACAGGAAGAAATTTATATTAAACATCCCATCAAAATAGCCTCTTCTCTTTGGCAAAATGCATAACTCAAACATTTAGTGTCTTTCATCTTGTCTTGAGATTTGTTTCCATCATCTGATCGCAGCTGAAATCTTAAAAAAAAAAATTGAGTGCCTACTTAAAAATTATTGTGCAATATATATTTAAGACTAAAAGTTTTGATTTTCTCATAAATTTTCGATTAAGAAAATTTACAATCAGCATTATTATGCCAGTAGATCAATATGATCTAGCCCAAAGGGCAGGAGCTTAATTCTCTTGCATCTCATTTTTCTTCCTCTGCCTGCAGATGTAGCTTGCAACTTACTTGTAGGTCAGATTTGAGCCTCAAAGCTGTGACAGCATTCCTGTAAATATGTTTGCAGCTGAATGACAGTTCCACATTGTCTGTCCCAAGAGCTGAGCACAGCAATTTTTAACTCTGAACTATCATCCAGCCATTTGACATATCCCTATGTGTATCCCAACCCTCTCGGGACTGGATTGGTAAGTTCCAGCATTCATCAAATAAAGCATCCAGACACATTGCAATAAGCCTACTGTTCATGTAATTAAATAAATGCAGGGAGCATGTAAACGAGTCTTTGGCAGCATGAGCCCTCGGCAGCAGCGGAGTTCGGCATTCCACTTTTCCCGATGTAATGATGTTCCCGGACCTGAGTGCCCCTGGGGCCGGCCCGGTGGAAGCAGTGGCCTTTCTGCCCAAAGCGTAAAATGCCATCGGTTAAGGAAAGAATGTTTGTAGTTCATACATCATCTGACAGGGTTTCCTGCCTCTGGCAGGGTTTTCCAGGGCTGTGGCGGAGGCAGTAACAACAGCAGGCAAACACCAGAGGGAGTTATTGTTCTACTGGAGGAAAGAGTGCCTCAGGACACAGTGTTTTAAGTAGTGTGAGGCTTCTACCCAACGAAAAATGTTCAGGTGACATGCCTCCACAAAATGTAATTGGTGAAACCATTGATTCTAATCATGTTTGAAAGAGTCGGTGTTCTTCACCAGTTTTCAGTGCTGACTCCAATGTACTGCTTCTTTGTACCAAGCAGTTGCTGAATAACACCCACTCACCCTCTAGTAAATTTTTTACATCTCTTCTCAATACTAGAGCCTTGCAGTTCAGTGTCAAGAGCCAAGGAGCAGGCAATAAGAAGTAACCTTTTTCACGTGTTTATTAAAGGAGTATTTTCTCCTGGTCCATCCACGCAGGCTGACACTCGGTCAGAGTGTCTGTGTCTTGACTGGTAAAGTCCACATACCCTCAGGGACCTGGTACATCAGAGTCCTGCATATGGAAAATGACCAGGCTGCAACCATCTCCCCAGTTGACCTAGACTTCCACGGAAGCAAATCTGGATACACAGATAGGAAAGAAGCGGGTGGGTTATCTACGTACTGGAAATGGGCTGCCCTTTCAGCAGCTATACCTGCATTTTATGCCTGCTGAAACTCTGGCTGCCTTCTGCTCAGGAAGTTTCAGCTGGTCATAAGCAGGAAAAGTGCATCCCCTGGGCTCTCCATAGAGAGTTGGCTCTTACAACTGCTCAATTTGCAGTAACTGATTCAAAGAAACCACAGTCAGCCCCAAGGTGAATCTATGCCAGTATCTTTTAGAGGAACATTTCAGTGAACAAACTGACCCAATTCCATTACACTTCACACAATGCTGAGGCAGGTGGAAAGCTTCTCCAATTCACTGCTGAACTTCCAAGACAAAGGACTAAAGTGGAGAGTCACTGTCTGCTTTTTCCGTGCATGTAATGAATGCTTCTGCTCTGACTGCTTTTAGTTTCTGTTGTTGAAACGGTGCTTAACTTTCCACAACCATTACACTGAGTGTCACCTGTGGAATATGAAGCAAAGATCAGCTCACCTGTCTTTTCAGCAGAAGACTTTAAAGCTCTATTTTCTTTTCTCAAAAGGGTATTCTGTAAAAATACCTTTCACTGATGAATATCAAAGTAAATCCCGGCTGAGCCCAATGTTAAATTGTATACCCCTGGCTTTCACAATGCTGCCAAGGTGAAGGATTCTGCAACAAAACTATTTTTCCTAACAGTTTTATTGCAGGTGCGTAAGATCTAATGGAGATGAGCCTATTCTTTTCTTAGGTGTGTCAGCTTTACAGAGCTCACCAGCACAAAAAGAGGATCTTGGCATTCTTACACTGGCGAACATAGAAGACGCTTCATACATCCGGGTGGATGACTTGCATTGTCAAGATCTTTTAAAAGATCTGGGCGTTATTAGAGGTGGGTGTTTAATTGTTGATTAATTAAAACAGAACCATACATGAATTATCCAGGCAGTAAACCTTTTTCTTCTGATAAGTAAAAAAGAACTCTGACAGAACTGGGATCACACTCTTGCCTCAAGTACCACCAATGGGAATGTAGAGGAGGAGAACTGTATTTAGGTATTTGATGATGTAGCTAGACAAAATCCTCAGAAACCTCTATGCAGACCAGATGTTCAAGTAGTTTTGATTTTACAAATCTGTTTCAATATCAGTATCTCTGTGAAGTCAGGTATGATTCCTTCGTTGAAAAGTAATTCATTGCTCCTCATTTTGAAGTTAAAAATCAATATAAATCAGTATAAATTTCATACTTCTTGCAATATTAAATAAAAGTTCTTATGAAACCAACTTCATTAGATTAGGAAAATAAAACTCCCTGGCAAAAATTTCATAGTGTAAAGTCAGAGGTTCTCTGCACACTTTAAGTTAGACTTTAGTGGTAGCATGCTGTCTTCAGAAATTATATGGTCATACAGTATCCCTGGTCCTGTTTCAGTTTCTTTCTCCCTCCAACTCTGCTAATACAGCTGTTTTCTGGATCAGTGCTGTGACTATGGACTTAAATTTAAAAAAAAATAAGAAAGAGAAAGGAGGGGCAGGGGAAACTGCTACCAGTGAAGACAGCTGTCATCAGATCTTGTCCTTAATACATGCTCTGGAAGGAGCTGAAGTGATCCTTTGTGAACAGCCCATTCACTGGGGACATTTCCATTACAGACTTTCAAACACATCTGTGTGTCATTTCTCTGTGACTTGCTCACAGCTCCTGAGCAGTGCAAGTGTCTCTTCCGCAGCAACATTATAGCACTGAAATGATGGGAAATAACCTTTTTTCTACAGCAGCTTTTATGATGAGTACTGACGTTTGGCCTGGAGAGCATTGGCTTGCTGGGGAATGGATAGAAGCTGCACAGGAGCTTGTGGCTGTAGCAACTGTCCTGTATTAAGTACAGATATTCAAAACAAACTGTTTTATAGATCTGAAACACTATGTTATCATCACCCAAAACATAAAATCGTGGTGAATAGCTCTTAAGACAAAAGTGCCACAGAAAACATTGGAACTGTCATATTTGTGTAAACCCAAGAGCACTATAAACAGTTAAAATCTGAAATGCCATGCACTACTTACATTCAAAACTATTCACTGTGATATTACCTTAAAGCTCAAAAGGCTCTGCCAGGCATGTTGCAGGGACAGCAGAGGAGGCACTTGTAAAATGAAGAGTAATTTCTCACTAGGATCTTTCAGGATCTGGGTCTGTGAAAAGAAATCTTCAATTGTGAGAAGAAGGAAAAAAAAAAATCAGTTTGCCCTTGGGAAAATATGGCTTGTAAAGCTCATATAGCTCTCCTTTAATAACACATTTTTAGATACCTGTGCTTTTGAATGCCTACTTTAAAGAACACCCACCCTTTGAAGCTCTTTCATGAAGACATATAATCTATGATAAAAGTTTATTTTAGTCATGTCAGTGTGTGTGTGTCCATATGTCAGACCTCAAAAAGGGAAGAGAAGCACTGGATAGTAGTCCCAGTGGCAACACAGAGATTGATTTCCAAGAGTAAAACTCTGAATGACTCTTACAGCCATCTTTTAAGTTTTCTTCATTTCTATCTGAAGTTGTTACATCAAGGTATTAAGACACTTCATTTGATGTTTGTGGTCTTCTGAAACTGAAGCCCTTCCACCTCATCTGAAAAACATTAAAAATGTCTACATTTCTGCTACAGCATATTTTCCTTAGCTGTGTTAAAACTCATTTACCAAGGTAAATTCAAATTATTTACATATTAAAAAACTCATCACTCCTTTGAATCCCCTGAACAGTTTATTCCTCTTATTTCAGCAAAGGATATTGCTTTAGAAAGTCTACTGGTTGCCTTCAGAACTCAATGGAGCTTTATCACTGTTAGCCTGTCATCAAAGTCATCAAAGTGTTTAATAAGTGCCTGCCAATGCTGAGCTCTTAGTATCCACTCGTCCCCTTTACTACAACACCTTAGTTTGATTTATGCAGCTGGATTTGTGTCAGGAAAGTCTCACAGGCCTCAGTTGGGGACTTGCATGAGGTTACAAACTCAAACCATGTTCAGGTTCATCAGGAGCAGCCCCAGAGCCAGTTGTGTTTTGCCTCTGCTGTGTCCAGTCTAATCACTGTTTCTCACAGGAGCCTGGATCCATGATGGGTCCTTTGGGAACCCAAACTCGTCTAGCTTATTTTGCTATATTGGAGAAGCAAAGGTTTAAGTGATCCATCCTGAATCCTGCCCTTACTCCCACTTCCCAGGATCCTTTGGGATTATATTTCTCACCCTAGTTCTGGTGTTGGCTACAGAAAAGATAAAATGTAAGCAGGACACACTTTTGTATATAAGTTTAAGGGACCTCTTTATAATAATGTGATGGCACTGTGATGGCAGTAACAAGGTCCATTTCCATCAGTCTGTTTTCCTTCATCCCCAAAATGGCACACAAAACACACCCACTCCAGAATGTACTGTGATTCATATGAAAGCCTTGGCCAAGCCTGTACTTGACAGCTCTTGTGCTTTGCTGAGGATTATTTCAGGGGGCAGTCAAGGAGAGAACAACTGAAGATTGAAGATGTTTGTATACACACAGATGTGTACTCCTGGGCTAACATTTCCCTGCCTGACCTCAGGAAAACTAGATGAAACACAGCACTAGCTGCTGAGTCAGTGAAGCTCTTTGAACTGATAACTGTGGCATGTTCTGTGATGTGGTTTGCCTGGAAACATATTTGTTTCTTTTGAAAATGCAAAATACCAAAATGACATCAGTTGTAGTGTGCATTGAAAAACCTAGGCTGAGATGGCAAGCTGTTTCAGTCCATAAATGATTGCAGATGTTTGGGTGAGGCTGCAAAACACGAGGCTTTTCAAACATGTACATTTGGGGAAGGAAGCTAGGGACACATATAAACATGAACATAATTGTTATATATTGCAGCCTGTCAGCTGGTCCCATTTCAGCTTGGCTGTTATTAAAGATGTGCAAAAGTAAGTGGAAACTATGATAGCTGAAATGCATCTGGTTTAGTGAGTGTTTTCTATTTCTGACCCTATAGGCTTTCTTCCCTTTGTCTGATGCCAGTTACATACTAAACACATAGAACTATCAACAGGCTGAAAAAGAGGCCTAGGAGGTATACTGCTGGTTCTTATTATCACCAGATTGCAAAAGCATATAGCCTGAGCTGGTTTTCAAGCAGGCTAAGTTGCAGAGAGCAACTATGTCCCAGGAGCCTGCTTTGCAGAGCAGGAGCTGGAGGGTACCAATTTAGAAAGCTCTCTAAGTTTGTGATGCCCTGTAAGTGAATGTCACAGGCCTGGGAATAGGATAGAAAGAAGAGCTACTAGATGAAGAACTATTGGCATTAGGTCTTCCTCCTGATCTTCAAATTTGGGCTGTTTGGCCCTGAGTTCCAGAAGGGAGGTCCAAGTGGTTCTTGCTGACACAGACAGCATCAAGAAGGTGAGTGACAAGGGATGTTGGAGAACATGGACACCTTCATCCCAGCCATAAGAAAAAACAAATAATCAAGTGCCTACACCTTCAAAAAGCCAATGGCAGGCAAAATGTGTCATGACAAAATTTTTTTTTTGTGTCACCTCTTTGGGCCAAATTGCAGCCTTTTAATAGCTTGCCATGTGACAATTCTAACAAATCCTTCATCTGACTTATTCAGCCTTACCCTCAATGGAGCTGTGGGCAGAGTGAGGAGGGCCTTGCTGCAGTGTGTTTGCAGTTGTTCTGCAGCATTATCTCTAGTTATGCCGAGTTCCTGTAAACCCAGCTACTGATATCTTTGCACTCCTGTGTTTATTACTGATGAAAAATTAAAAATAAAGCTTTAAGTATTAAAACAGCAGAAAATCTCATCATTCAGTTCTCTTAAAAGTTCAACTGTCAACTACTTTTTCAAAGTTGTCCTTTTTAGGAAACTGCAACTTTTGCAATGTGCAAAGAGGGATAACATAATTTCTTTCCTGATGGGTGTTATGCTTGTTATGCTTTTCTACTTGACAGACATTTTATTTTAATGTGTGGGTTTTATATAAGTGTGCCAAAAATGCTAAAATTGAAGTGCAGAAGGCTAGGGAAGAAAATCTGTAGTTTTTATGAAATGTCCAAAACTATTTAGAGGTTTTGTTTTTACTCTGTGGGTTCAACAAGCAGTGATGCAAATAAATCAAAATATTTTTCTTCCATTAAAATAAATTAAAATCTGCTAAGGAATTGCAAAGGATATCACATCAGACTAGTAACTATTTGCACATAATTCAGATTTACAAGTGAAAAAAATGAATTTCATATATTCAAAAAAGTCTGTAAATACTGATTGTGTGTTCTAGAAGGCAAAATTTAGCTAGTGATTTCAAGATTTATCACTGATATTCTGTTGTTTGTTCTTTTCTCAATACCCCAACTTCATAAATATGTTTCTGTTCAAAATGTCTTCTTGATGTCTGAAAGGTTCAGTAAAACTTAGCAGCTGTGAGGAGAAAAAAGCACAAAGTCATTGCAGGTTCTGTCCACACAAATAGCATCAGACAGCAACTTAGATTGAAACTGGGACCCTGGTGGCACCAGGGACTAAGGGTTTCATCAAGAGCAAAGTTATTCATAGAAATAACTGAAAAACGGTGGGACAGCTCACATAACTAAGGATTGTGGTGGATAGCTACAGGCTGTTTCAAAAAGACAGGCAGGACAAAATTGGAGGAGTCTCGCTCTTTGCCAAGGGGAAGTTCTGATGCATAGATGTCAACCACAGCAACTGTGGAAGCCCTACAGAATGCCCTTGAGTTAAGATCAGAAAAGTCATCTTCAAGGGGAATGTTTCAGTAGACAACTTCTCCTGACCTCCAAACCAAGACAATAAGACCAACAAAGCCATATTTGGGGCACTTAAGCAAGCTGTGGAAGGTTCACAGAACCTGTTTCATGTGGGTGACATTTGTTGGAAGAACAGTACAGCAGCTCACGTTGTCCATCAAGTTCCAGGAGGGCCTAAGAGGACAACTTCCTCATACAAATATTAGAGATGTGCCAAGCAGGAATGAGGCACTGCTGGACTCACAAACTGAGGAAACCTGCTTTGAAATACCTTGGTCAGTGATAGCCTTGGCTGTAGTGATCACAGTATTGTGGAGTTTAGGATTCAGCTGGGCATGCTGAAGGTTAGTACTAAACCAAAGGTTTTAGACTTTAGAAGAGCAAACTTCAGCTCACTGAAAGCTCAGGTGGCAGGAGGGGCAGGTGGAAAGGGAGGGTGGTAGTGTCCTCTGGAACCTTCCGTGGAGTATAAACATGCAAACAGGCTGGAAAGCATCCAGAGAAGGGAAAGAAAGACAATCAAAGGACTTGAAAGTCTGCCATATGAGGAAAGAACTGGGGTTTTTTGCCCTTGAGAAAAGAAGACTTAGGGGAGACGTAATCTTGCAGGAGACTCTGTCTGAGAGCAGCTGCCACTGCCATGATAATAACATTAACACAAAGCAGCAAGTACCTGATAGCAAGATGGAAGCATTACTGAGACGACAGAAGTGTTTGGTTACATTAACTTTATGGCACCATCCAAGCTCCTGAGTCAGTACTTCCAGTGTCTTGCAAGGCTGTACTCTCAGTAGTGATGGTGAGCATCAAAAGGAAGGGGAGACAGTGCAAAAGCTGTTGTGCTGCAAAGAAGGTAAAATTTTTCATTACATCCTACAAAAGCATGTGGTTCTGCTTCATAGAATGTAGCATGTTTCTGTGCTTCAAGTGATGAGAAGCAAGTACCTGATAGCAAGATGGAAGCATTACTGAGACGACAGAAGTGTTCGTCTTTCACTCTTTAGCTGGTTCTGGGATAAGATGTAAACCTGAGTCATGTCCAAGCAGAATTTACCTGCAGGGATGGCAATAGCATGTTACACCAGCAAGGACTGAAGACATGCTGGTGCTGGAGAAACTCTGTTTGTTTTGGTCTGAGGGCTGAGGAGCACAGCTGCCTTCATGTTCTCCTTTCTTGGGCAGCAGCACATACCAGGCAGGCTGATCTCCACATCACTCTAAGCTAAACATTGCTGGCAAATTACAGCTCATTCTTTAGGAAATGCCATCTTGATAACATTATCTGAAGTATTGGTCTAGAAGCTATGTTAGGTCTGGAATCTGTATTCCTATTTAAATCTCCCAGTCACAAGAGGTAATGGCACACAGACAATTGGAGAAGGGTTTGCTTGGCCAAGGTGCTGTTCAGCAGAGGTAGTTCCTCTGTAAAACCAGTGGGTTTGCTTAGTCCCCCAGTATGCCAGAAGGGGTTTATTAGGCTTTGAAAAATGTAATCCAGAGGACCTCATGGGTTTTTTTCTCCTTTTTGTTCTGCCTCGGACAAGAAGATAATTTCAGATTGAGGCATCTGTAGCATATGTTTTCTGCAGAGCTGGTAATAATAGAAACATTTGAGTGAGGTCCCTGTATGAGTTACGTCACTTGTTTTTTGACTGGGCAGTCAGAGAGGAGCTAGCAAGGAAGCCTGCTGTCAGTGCTGCAGAAAGGATGTAGGTCCTGGCAGCAAGCCCAGGCCTGCTCAGCAGATCAAAGGCTCTTCCCTTGGCTCCCATAGCAGCCGGAAAAGCAGCTGCCCAGTACCCTTTCAGCATCCTTCGCTCCTTTCTCCTCTGCCAGCAAATAACTTCTTTTTGCTCCCCACCTCAGCAATAGTCCCTTTTTCCCCCCCTGAGTATCTGCCAAGTAAGGTCCTTTTATGGAAAGTGCTTGTGTTTACTACCTGCAGATCTCAGGGCCAGCCAGTGGAAACGCACTGGGAATACTCTGATTCTTACATGCTACTCCCTTCCCCCAGATATGCTCCCAGCTGAGACTTTAACCTGGAAGATGAGGCAAAGCTGAAAGGAGCAAGCCATGGTTCTAAACCACATGCCATTTTCCAAGCCAGCCTGATGGAAGATTTGAATTTGGAAAAGTACTTTTTGTGCCAAAAGAGCATAACAGCCATGCTTTGAAACCCTTCCCACTCACCTCCCAGAAAAATAAATAATGTGGTTTTTTTGTGGGCTTCTTCGTGGTGGTTTTTCCTTTTTAAATACACGACTGCCTTCCTCCAAAGCTGCTGCTTGTCAGTGGTGCTCCTGGCTGTCCCTGTTAACTGGTTCCTGATGGGAAGTTTGTCTGCCATGAAAGGAGAGTCAAGCAGACATGTCAGAGAACTGCAGACTCTGCAAGAAGAACACTGTGTCTGCTATTACACTGCTGTTTCTGCTTCAGTTGCACTTTGGGCTGGCTGATGGGAGCCTTTAAAAACAGCAGCACTGAGCTTCAAAGGCTCATGCAGCCCTTACATACCAAATTACAGCTAAATAGGGGATGAAAGCCTGACCCTTGAGTGCCCCGCTGGCAGTGTCTGCATCACCAGCACCTTTTCCCCTCCCCATTTTTGAGAGTTGATCAACCCAGTAGTGCTGGGTGAATAAACTGTCCTGCACGAGTCTGCTAAAGGTCTTGAAAATATTTTTGTAGTTGTTTTTATAAGCACTGTGAGGCACTCCAGCCTGCACTGTGGATATGAGGTTTTCCTTGCTCAGTAAGCAGTCTCCGAGCTTGGGTTTGCTGATTAATTATCTGCCGTCATCAAGATTGGTATGGGAGCAATGTCTTAAAAGATCTTTGTTCCCAATGTGAGCTTCTAATGGCTATTAAAACTGTGAGTGTTTGGGAGCTCCTCTGGGGAGCTCTTCTCCCTGTGTTCACACACTGCTAATAACACCCTCATATGGGTTTGCCTGCTACAAATTGCCAGTAATTAATAATATTCTATATAGGAGCATCAGAAACAGTTAATGCATGTGACTGCAGGCTGAAATCTGTATTCCTATTTAAATCTCCCAGTCACAAGAGGTAATGGCACACAGACAATTGGAGTGCCTAGCCCAGAAGCTTTGTAGACAAGTTTTTCTTTGCCTCAGTTTCTCCTTCAGTAAAATCAAGAGAATGTGAGACTTCGTAATGCTTGTCAAATTTTTATGGGTGGGTGGGGGAAACCATTGGAAGTGACAGGTGCAGAAGCATAAAAGGTTATTTTCCATATCTTTCCTTATTATACCTAATGCTTTTTAAATGGAATCTTATTTTCTAACTCATCTTTTGCATAAATATGCCATATTAGACAGTAGTGGTATTGTGGGGAGAGTTGGAATAAGTGGAGAGAGTGAACTTCAGGATCATTATCACCAGAAATACATATCATTGTTTATTATCATACCTCTAATGAGGCAGAATTATTCCTGTAATTTTTTTCTCATTTTTGTCCTTAATTGTTCTTCTCCTATCACGGTTTCTTTATTTTGTGTATTTCAAAAATCCTTATGGGTCTAGTGAGGCATTAGTATCACAGAAAAGCAGTGGAACCCCTTGAGTATGTGCAAACTTTTCCTTCTGCCTCCATTTTCTGTCTTGTCTGCCTTTATTGGCATCTTCCTGCTTGCCTCTTCTTTCCTCCCTGTGAGTCTGGTTTCCTCTTTACTGCAACAGAAAGAAATAATTTTGATGAAACAAATATAAAGAAGGAGGGCAAAACACCCTCTTGTGTTTTGTTTAGTAGTGAAACATGCAGCATTATAAAATACCAAAACCCCAATGACTCTGTAGGGAAATTCAGGTAACAAGTAAAACATATGGATACCCAGAGTAAATACGTGGATGCACCAGGCAGGATTCAATTCAAGACCATGATGTGTCTTTATCCCAGGAGGGACATGAGATAGTCACAGGCCCTGGACTTCAACAGTTTTCAGAATTCTGGAAAATTAATCATTACAGTAAGTTTTTAAAGGATTTCAAGGAGTGGGTGAAGAAAGTAATTTGTCTGAAAGGACAGCTCAGCACTTTCTTGATCTTTTTACTGTCCCGGTAAATCATTTATCAGGGAAAACTTTCAGAAAACTCCCACACAAACTATGCTAGACAGAGTCTCCCAAAAGTAATATTACTCCTCCTTTATGCTTTCCAGACCTAAAAACAGAGAAACTGGAGTACCAGGGTGGTACAGGCCCCTGCTTTATAGTGTGAGGGCTTCAAAGCTTCCCTTTTCTGAAATATTAAGTGAATTGTTCAGGACTATTTTCAGGATGTGCATTTCTCATTTAACCTTGCTTTTATATATTTTGTTTCTGTGATACCTGACATAAAATTCAAAATAGTAGCGCAGTGTGAGATCTTTTCTCTTTTGAATTATTAAAATGGAATGTAAGCTTTATTTTTTCCCCCACTAATTGCTCTGGTTGATTTCCCTAGCTTAGAGCAGAGGTGTGGTTTGGAAGGCTCAGATTTTGAAATATTAAGAGAAAGGGGGAAATAAAAAGCAAAAAGGAGGAATTTCTCCCTGCACATCAGAGGCTCCCAGAAAATCTGGGATCACATATATGACTTCTGGAATAATACATTTTAACTTGTGTTCATCAGTTATGAAGTTTTCTCTGGTCTAAAATATCCCAAACTATTCACTGTCATTTGTATGCAGCATCAACTGCAATCTGCAGTAACAATAAGGTGGTATTAAAAAGGAATTTCTCTCTATTTATACTTTAGGTTTCAAACAATTCAGTTGCAATTGAATTATTACAGGAATATTAATTTAATTCAAGTACCAGAGCTTTGAGAGCTTTCTAACAAAATGTTAAGACTGGCAATACAAATGGGGTTATGAGGAATAATGGATAATTTCTGTTATTGTTTTCTCCACAACCATGACCTTTCTCCCATCATAGATATTAGCACATTGTGAAAGGAAATAGTGTAAGAGGTACAAGGAATAACTTTGTGTTAATTTTCAGCAAGAAAGACAAAAGCAGGCATTGAAAAAGTTTTTTGTTAATGAAAAGTGTATGCATAGAGAAAGTAGCTATACATGCAAGAGAAATGTACCTTTTTTTAGTATTATTATTATTATTTGCACATAGCATGAACGGATAGATTTTAATAAAGCTCCTTCATCCTAATTATGTAATTAGCCACGTTTCCCGTGGGCTGTGAGAAACCTGGAGAAACTGAAAAGGGGTGAAACAACAGGGTAGGTGGAGATTATAGAGAGAGAAGGGGCTGAAGTGAGAAAGAAGTAGTCCAGGGGAAAACAGGCTTCATCTGCTATGTTTCTCATGGAAAAATTGTCCTCACCCTTGCCAGCCTTGAAACTTGGAGGCTTTAATTTTGGACTCAAAATAAGAAACCTGTGGTTTCTCATTCAGATGGGCTCCGTCTGCCTAACCTCAACATCTGTGAAGAAACTATGGTGTTCTAAGCTCTCCCAAACCTAGAATTTTACAACTAATTTTCTGGAAAAGCTACTTGAAACCAAGTTACAAGGGCCTGTATTAAATGCTTGGTAACATGTAATTCATGAGTGTCAAATATGATGTTACAAATCGCCCTCCCTCCCCCCACCCCCCATACCTATCCATACCCTAGCTCACCAAGAAAATTTGTTCCCCTCACCCCAGAGAACATTTACCTGGCACACAGACCTGCTCCTTGTGCCCTGACTCATCTCTGCTCTAGGACTGTGTCTGTCCCTTCTGCCTCCGTGCCTCAGGAAGACAGCATTAGCTGTTTGCCAGCATTAAAGCAAACATGGCTGCAAAATCCCTTCCCCACAGCAGCTATTTCTAACACGCTGCTGTGAAGGAATTGCTGCTAAAAACAGAAGAGGAAAAAAAAAGAGCTGGTATCTCAAAATACCTTCCTCATTGCAGCAGTCAGCTGAGGAGGCATGTCAGGAGAGAACAACATCATGCTGTTCTCAGGTGATGTGGGGTAAGGGGAAGAGGGTAGGAGACACTGAAATGTGTTCATAAAGGAGAGAAGGAAACCTCCAGACACACAAAGAGGAGAAGCTAATGTGCCTTCAAAGTACATTTAACGTGGGATTGCTGACATGTCATCACAAGCACCAGCACAGAGCTATTACATGGGTCACTGCAGGGACAGGGTTACTGTGCCCTTCTGTAATCCTGTTGGATTTATTTTATATTTAACTTTGCTGTTGAATTCCACCTTGTATAATGTTTGGTTTAGGAAAAAGTGCTACAGCATACCATTTTTTTCATTCTCACCTGGCAATATGACTTGTAACCCCAACTTCCCCCATATAATTTTTGTCTGAAAAGTAATATAAAGTCTGTTTGAATAATATCCTTCACTCTTCACAGGTATTTTTCATGGGAAGTTCAAAGAGAACTTTTCATTTCTCAGATACTCATGTTGTTTTTGCAGGTGCTTTACAAAAGTTTCCATTAACAAATAAACAGTAAGAGTCAGGCATGATTAAAATTGCTCAGCCACAAACCATCAACACTGAATATGCTAAGATAGAGTTGAAGTGAGTTACTTAACAAGTGCTAAAATCTGACCTAGTTCCATAAGAGGTGTTAGAGAATGATGCTGCACATAACAAAAAAATACCAAAAATCTTTTTCCAAGCTTTGTGAATAGTAAAAGAGGTGACCATGTTCATTATTGGTTACAAACACTTCTAACCCAAGCTTCTTCTTAATGCAGTTTCACTGACACAGTCACAGCCTTCTATGATCCAAAATACAGAAACATCATCCTTCTTAGGAAAAAAAAAGTGGTTTTAGAAGCAAGTGAAAAGAAAGCAAAAAGCAGGAGCACCTCAAGCACATTACTGATGTCAGAAAAATTGTAACAAAAAAAAGTATATGACCCCTTCAAGCTTCCAGTTCTCATACATGGATTTTGGTATGGATATGGTGGGAGGGCATTGAGACAAGGTCAAGGTCTAAACTGTATGTGACAAGGTCAGGGTCTAAACTGTATGTGCTCCAAGCATTTGCATGGGATCTGGTGAGCCCTGGCTTGCCTGGGATCCCAGGAAACAGGACTTTCTAGGGATGTTTCCTTTGAAGGAAGATGCAGCATCAGCAGGTCAACAGCTGCCTTTGTTGAGGACACCTGACCAGTAACAGCCACTAAATCCATCCATAGTTTCCCCTTTGGTGGCAGTATGAAGAATATCCCAAAAACACCTGTGCCTGAGCTTTGCCTCCCTTGTCTGGGTCACTTGAGCTCAACCCTGAGCTGTGCAGGTGGTTCTTAGGACACACACCCTGAGCAAGACTCACCGACTACAATTGATTAAGCACAGAAACTATCCCAGTATCTTCATGTATTTGACAGTGGTGGCCTTGTATCAATTCAGAGTTTATATACTTCCTCAGCAATCTTCTTACTAATTTTGAAAGTAGTAGAAGTAATGGGTCTTTCTGCTTATTGATAAATACATTGAAGACTGTGAACAAAATCCAGACAAAGTGGTGCTCCGTGCAGAAGCCATTACATTTGAAGAAGTCCTTGACATCCTCTGGAACAGAAGATATCTTGATATTTTTCTTTTTTTATTTTTAATGTATCGGACTCATGAAAAGAAGGATCTATTTACAAACCTATCTGAACAAATAGCTCCAAAGACAAAAGGTAATTGCCTAATGATCGCCACTGTGGTAGCAACAAAAATTTAATTATTAATGGTAAGACTTCATCTCCACCATTTTTGCAGACTAATATGCCTTGTGGGATGGGGAATGTGCTTCATTAGGGGCTTCTCTTAAAAAACAAATGCAAACCATATGCACGTTCATCTCAAGGTCTTTACCTCAGAAATAATTATGTCCATAGCTACACATTGCCTGTTAGCTAAATGTCATTCAAGGTCTTCCTTGTAATATTAGAAGCATGAGTAATACCAGATTAACCAAGTTCCTGAAAAGTATTTTGAGGGCTATTCCTTAAAGCAAATTAAATTGTGGGACATTGCTCAAGGCAGAGAGAGGACACTGGAAACCTTAAGGAACAAAGCAGTCCTCTTGATATTTACTGCAGGGCTGTCTGTGTATTGTTAGACACAGGACGTTTGCATATGAATAAAAACCATGTGTACATGAAGAGAGAGTAAAAAAATGAAATTTGCGGGAAATTAGCTCAAATGGTGCCTTCACATTTGTGATCTTCAAGGTCGAGGATAGCAAGTGCACAGGCTAAGGTCCAAAGTTCCAATGAGACACAGAGAGGGATCACAATATTCAGAATTACAGCATTTTATTTGGCAGGAAATAAAATACAGAAGCACGAGTGTGTAAGCATATGTATTGTGTTAAGCTTATGTATTGTGTATTTCCTTAAATAGAGTTGCTGGTAAGAGGGGATTCTGCTAAAGAAAGAACCATATCTCTACTCAATTCTTCGGCAATTTAGCTACTCTCTGTTTCATCACATAGGAGAGATTTTCACCCTGACAAGGGGTTCCCTCAGACCTGGGGACCTTAACCAATTGCAGTTTAAAGAAACTTAGAGTGGGCATGAATGAGTAAAGACAGAAGGGAAAGAGTCTGAGGGACCAGCATGTGTGTGTGAGAGAGAGAGGGAGGGAGAGCTGCTCTTTCTTGTAGGAGTTAAACTGGGAAATTATACCAGTCCTTAGGTGTTGTGGTCAGTGAAGCCCAGTGTTGTGT